GGAGGTGGCTGTGTATAGAATGTGTCTGGCATCTCGAGATTGATGGTGGATACGTGAATGCGCTCTTTCCGCTTATCCGCAGCAGTCTCTTTGACGGGCGATGCATCTTCATCATAGCTTTGCTTCGACTGCGCTCTCTTCTTGCGACTTGCAGGCACGCTCTTTGCAGGTGAGACACTCTTGCTGCCTTTCTCAGACAACGTCTGATCGGATTCATCAAATGCGTCTTCATCCTCATCAGACGATACGAAAGGGCCTCGGCGACGTCCTCGTTGTGCCTTGCGCGGAACAGACTCCGCCTGCTCATTTACGTTGCTGATCTTTCGCCGCTTGGCTGGCCTTGGTGAGGGCGGGAAGGCAGGCGTGTTCTCTTTCTCGGCCTGCGTCGCGGCATCGAGAAACTCGGTGTCGTCGAACTCGTCGCCATATTCATCACTCTCGTCCATTGCGCGGGTGTTTGCGAAGCGGCGACACTTTATTAGTGGCGTGGTGAGGGAAATGTCAAGACGCGTCGTTTCTAGCGCGTTTTGGCGCAGATGGATGGGGCAGGTGGTGGACCCCTGCAGCCCTGGAGTCCAGGCTACCACTGGTAAGGTTCCAGCCGACGTGCCTCGATATGACGCCGCCGGCCCGACAAAGCTTACCACACGAGGCATAGTCGAAACCCAATATAAGCACAACGGAGCCACTACTCGCCAAACCCCTATGTACTGACTAGTAGTGTAACAGTGCAATAAAAAGCGAGATGGCCTGCCCCGGATTCTCAGTGTGTGCGCCAACGTTCGTTCTTTATTCTGATTCAGCCTTCAAGTACTCGTACTTCCCACGCTCGCTTACCGCATCTTCAGTATATCTGTATTAATCCTCACAATCGAACCGCTATCTACAACCTTCGAGTAATACCCAAACCCAAACCAAATTCAAGATGAAGTACTCCGCTGTTCTCCTCTTCGCCATTGGCGCCTTCGCTCTTCCCCAGGATGCGTCTGTTACCAGCGCCCCAGCGGCTGCCGCCATTCCCAGCGGTCTCTCTCCCGCTATCAGCTGTGCCATGGACTGCGACGCCGGCGATGTGAACTGCCAGGCTGCATGCTTGGGCAACGCTCGCCCCAATGCCTCGCAGGCTATCGCAACCAACGAGTGTGCCGCCAAGTGCGACCAGGGCGATGGCTCTACCTCCGACTCCATTGCCTACGCCAAGTGCGTCGACAGCTGCATCAACAGCCTTTTCCCTAGCAGCCAGACCGCTTTCGCCCCTGGTGCTGCTGGTGGCGCTGTTGCTTCCGGCTCTGCTTCCGGCTCTGCTGCTGCAGGTGCCTCTGCCTCTGCTACCGGCTCTGCCAACCCTACGGCTACCTCAGGTATGGTTGTCATTGACAGTAGATTCTGCTATTCTTGTACTAACGATGATCCAGGAGACTCTTCCTCTGCCTCTGGAACCGAATCTGGCTCCGGAGCTGGTCCCGCCTCCACTGGTGCCGCCGACAAGGCTTCAGCTCGTATCGCTGGTGCCGGTCTCGCCGGTCTTTTGGCCATCTTCGCCTTGTAGACTTCCTCATCTACAAGTTGGAACTTACTAGGAGTTGATGATTTGGTGGGAAATGAGGTGGGAGTTCATGAGGGAAAAGACGAACGGAAATTGGCTATATCATGGTTGGATGTTGTACTTCTCGTGCGCAGAGGACAGCAGCCTATGGTGATACGATCCGTTTGGCGGCAAGATGCAGACAAGGTGCAGAACAATTCAATCATACTGCCGTTCTAAGGAATGTACATGACCTATTGTCGCATGGGTATTCTGAAATGCGTGAGCTTTCGTTGCGAGTTGCAGTCATTGAGGAGGGGGATCCGCACTGGGGATGCTAGCGCAGCTAATGTTGGCGCTGGCTCGTGCGTTTTCCATGCAGGTCAGCGGCTTGACCTCGGCAGGCAGATGTCATCAAGGCCCCACCCCGACCATGACAAGTGCCCGCACACCTTGAAGAAATCAGGGTAATCCATCGTGAACATATCCAGCCGAAACAGAAAACAGCAATCTTTGCGCCTTTCGCAAAAAGAGGCAGTTTATTGGTACTGGGCCGAGCGTTGTTTGTTGCGATTACGAACGGTGCCAGCAAATTCCCAGCTCCCCAAGGTTGAGGCAGTATTGGCAAGCATCATGGCGCGGACACGGCTGTGTAAGTGGTTATATCTGCCCTCGGACCGAAAGTTTGATTGTTGTCGCTGAAAACCTTGCTCGATCAATGGGCATGAAAAGGGGCTTTGCGCGCCGTTGATGGACAGAAAACAGATGGGTTCCGGCACGGTTATGGCTCTTCGACCGATCTGCAAGCGCCTGTCGTTCCCGCATGCACCAAACTAGAGGGCGACTCTAGGTAGGCGTCGCCGATAACCACCTTGCTGCGCTCTGCTGTCGCAAAGTGACATCTTGGTGATTCAGCGCATTTCACGAATAGCGTTTTGAGTGTTGAATGTGCCTTGAACATCTTTCAGCCACCGGTTGATTGCGGCCAGTGCCCTCCTGCAGTGTACACGACCGTGCAACTCGCAATGCGTGTACTGACTTGCCTGAGTTTGTCTATCGCCGTGTATCAGACGACGTAGTTCTCGTAATTTTCATGGCGGGACCGGATCGCGTGGCTTTTGAATCCAGTTGATGGCAAAGATAACCTAAAGACCGCTCCTTCAAGATGAGACAATGCCAACACATCCCCAACCGCCATGCTGAACCATGCTGGGGTCAAACTTTCACGAAGTGCTTTGCTGAGGCATGAAACGTCTCTGTAAACCAGACGCGGTGGAGGGGGGTTGGCAGCGATATGTTGTGAGTGGGCAGGTTCTTGGCGGAAAATGATGTGCACTACTGAGTGCTGGTGGTGAAAGCGACCGTGAAACGCCCCGATAACGCAAATATAAGATAACGCTATGGAGCTCTGCGATCACTCAAAGTCTTGTGACTATAGGACTCTGCATCGATATGCGAGCGCGAGCGATGACGAAGAAGATTCCTCGCTGTTATCACGTATTCGTCAACACGTGGGCACAAAATAGTTGTGTCGCAACTTCAGAGATCAAGTCAATGAGATCTTTGAGCTGCGACCTGCCTGTAGGACCAGAGCAGTGTCGAAATCCGGCCCCGCCTCTGCTGCTCATAGACAGGTTGATCTGCAAGGCGCATTTCGATAATCACTCCACGTCTGTCTTGGCGCAAGAGTATTGTGAGATATCGCAAGCTGAGTTCTCGGTCACTTGGCGAATTTTAGTCACCAACACGTTCGAAACGGCTCCCGAGTTCGAGTGAGGCCCAGCGAAGGAGGGACTGGCGCGTTCCGCGCAGAACCGGATAGGCCACTTTGGTTAGGGTCGGTTGCAAGTCTGGGAGTGCGCCGGGTCGCACACGCAAGTCATTGTCAACGAGACGGCTGCTTTGACAAGCCGTGTTTTGACATCGGTGTCGTCTTCTGCGAAAATCCCATCAAAGCCCATGAGACGGTGCGTGGGCCACATTGTTGCTGCAAGTGCGCGAGCTGATGTGCGCCAACGATCACGTTAGCGAATGCCGGTAACAGCGAATGAGGAGCGGGCAATCTGAGGCCGACGAGGGTTGCTAGGGTGCGGCTGGGTGTCTGGGTGTTTCGAAGGGGGCAACAAGGCAGCCGACACGATATGACTGAATGCGTCTGCTAGCGTCCCTTGTCTGCGGACCTAGCAATCCCGCGAACCGCACGGGTTGCAGGCACATGTGCGACACGACCATGGGCGGCGCTGGAGCTTCACCACCAGATGGAAGTCGACGATGGAGACGATCGGGCCGTCTGAACCAGGCTGATTTGGCCGGAACAGGTGGATGTGTAAGAGAGTCAGACGCGACTGGGCCTAGTGTGGCAGGGCCGCAGAAAGGAATAACAATAAACGATCCAGGAGCTCTGCGTTTCCGGACACATGCGCGGGCAATGAGGCGCATGTCCTGACTCTGCCAGCTTGGGTGACGCAATGTGTGCTGTGGAAGATTCGGCATCAAGCCTTTCCATCCACGGATCTCTGCCAAACGACGAGGTCTCGTTAAGACCAGTCGACCCTTGTCGGCGCTAAATCGAGTTAGACGATGGACTGCACCATACATCGCCTCCTTCCAACCTTCGTCGCCGCGCCCACGCCATCATCACAGCACTCGATACCAGATCAGTAAACCTGGCGAAATGTCGAGGCGCACGCAATCGATGAGGTGTGATGGATATAATGCCTCAATTTGATGAAACCGAGTAGTGACTCGAACGACGCAGCCTGTCCGCTGGCCTATACAAGTGGACATGACTGAGACAGGCGGAGCAACTGCACATTACAGAGATAGTCGCCGCATGATGGGTGCGTTGCCGGTGTATGTCAGACAGGGGTGGTGGAGATCGTTGAAGGATGAAGCCGTGTGAACATGAACGTGCAAAAACCATCAAAAGAACACATCGTGACAATCGACCCATCAGCGCCCCCATCGCTTGCCGAACGACGCACCTGTACGGCGTGGGCAGGCGCGGGCGCTGCTGTCAGGGTGCTGTTGTTAGCAGCACCGATGAGAAAGATGAGATATGCGTAAGAAAGAACCTAGGTCCCACGGACGTAGCCTTGGGCCTAGCTTGGCACCGTTAGACCCATACTACAGCGAGTCCGCCATCTTCGAATTCCTTCAACCACTGCTCCCTTCTTCACTAATTCTTCCCCACACCACGCTTTCTTTCGTCTAACCACGAAACTTCCTCCGGTTTCGCCATCGGCCCCATCAAGCCAGCCGTCTTGAACCCCGAAAATACTCACCTTTGACTTGCTACTTCACAAGTTCGCGTGTATGCGCTGATGGGCCTTCTCATGCTGCGTTGATATCCGCACTTGACGGGCTTCTTTCTAGCGACAACCCTGGCGACAGCCCGCGCCTGCCTTGAAAGGGTTCTTCGCCGTCCTTTTCCTTGGCCGTTTTATTGATTCTGCCTTCTTCTGCAGTAATCGGCATGGCGGACACGAAGAACGGCGAAGGTGAGGCTCCGTCTTCGACGGCTGGGGATCAGTCGAATGCACCATCACCGCGCAACGAAGATGACGCGCAAAGCAATCAACAGCATCAACCCAGCGCTGCATCAGAAGTAGCGCCTTCGAAATCAACTAGCAAGGCTTCTACCAGAAACTCGACACCTGCTGCTTCTTTGGAAGTACGGGAGCCTGCACAAAACCCCAACGACGCGTCTTCTGCCATGGACGACGTGCAACCATCACCCGAGGCGGCCAACGTCGCTTCAAATCAGTCCAAAGCATCGTCAAAGGAGCCAGATCAAAACGGTGAGGCGCTATCGTCATACGGTACGCGATCGCGCGGCCGTCCTGGCAGGTCGCGACCTAATTATGCTGAGGACACCGAAATGGACTTCGAAATGGGAGCTGCAGCCACAAATGGCAACGCATCTGATCCGCCGTCGCGTAATTCTGTGGCTCCCGAAAACGGCCAATCTGCCAGTGTGGGTGGGAAGAAAGGTTCCGCCTCTGCACAAGGCAATGCATCGTGGGGTAATTCCGGAACCAACACTAAAGAGACCGCGCCGAATCCTAATGTTTCCGGCACATCAGCAACAGCTGCATCGACTCAATCAAGCACACCACAACCACAGCCCGCAACCAAACGACGCAAAAATGCTGCTGCGAATGGCGCAAATGGTAGTCACGCGAGTGCCGCTGCGCCAAGCCAAGCAGGGGCGAAGCGCGGAAGCCATGCCAGCGCCATGGTAGCCGCCAACAGCGCGCGAGAGACCAACATGATGACGTTCGAAAACACGGGCGCTTTCCTCAAGGACGGTCATTTGGAAGCCGACGATGGCCAAATTCTTTCAGTCAACGGTAAGTTTTGATTTGCTTTGGCTGCAGCTGACGGTCGCTCCGTTACGCCAGCCACGTCTTGCGGCTTGATTTCCGTTTTCTAATTGGATGTGCAGATCAGGTGTACCTCGTGTGCGAGCCGCCCGGCGAGCCTTACTACCTCTGCCGGGTTATGGAATTTATCCATGTCGACAATGACCCCAAGAAGCGGATAGAGTCCATGCGAGTCAATTGGTTCTACCGCCCACGAGATGTCCAGCGCTACAACAATGACACTCGTCTGGTCTACGCGACCATGCACTCCGATCTATGCCCTCTGGCGTCTTTACGAGGAAAATGCCAGATCTTGCATCGGAGCGAAATCGGCGATCTTGACGAGTACCGCAAAACTAAAGACAGCTTCTGGTTCAACCAGGTTTTTGACCGCTTCATTCATCGCTGGTACGATGTCATCCCCGTCTCATCGGTCATCAACGTACCCGACAAGGTCAAGAAGGCCCTGGACGAGCGGTGGAAATACATCTGTCTCGAGACGAGTCGGGTAAAGGAACTGACAAGCGCTGTCAAGAGCTGCAAGCGTTGTGTTGGATATTGCGCAGCGTGAGTCTTCATTTACCCATTCACGTGACGAAGCTAACCTGATTAGGAATGACTCTGTTGAGTGCGCCGTCTGCCACAACACCTATCACATGAACTGCGTGCGCCCACCACTACTCAAAAAACCATCTCGCGGTTTTGCGTGGGCTTGTGGCCCATGTAGTAGAGCTCAAGAGAAGAAGTTGGAGGCCCGTCTGGGTACCCATCACGAAGATGCCGAAGAGGAAGAAGTCATAGATGAGGAAGAGGAGGAAGCAAGCGGCGATACCAATGCAGACACACCGGACCCCGATTCCCAAGTCGACACACATCCTGCAACCCAGGCCGAGATTGCTTTGGCTAAGATGTGGCCTATGCGATATCTTGGCATACACTGCCGTGTAGAGGACGCACTGCAGTACGACGATCGGGCCATTTACCCTCGCGCAAGTTCTCGGCTGGGACCTCGACACCAAGCAAACGTCAACGTCTGGCATGGACACCCTGTGGAACTAGTCAAACCTGCGGAGATTAAGAAACGCTACGTCAAGGCTGCGGGCAACAAGAAGGAAGGCAAGCTCTCGAAAGAGACAGTTGCCGCGATCGAAGCAGACAAGGCGGAGAAGGCTAAGCGCCCTAAGTGGGTGATGGACGAGCCGCCTGGTTATGTTCGCCGTGGTGAAGACCTGCCGAACAAGGACTCCAAGTGTACCGCGGAATTGATGTTCAAGATGCCCCCACTAGGAGTACACTCCACTCGAGGAGAAGACAACGCTCCCAACGTCACGGAAGATCAAGTAAAAGCCTACATGGATCGGGCAAGGGCCTTGGCCAAGTCGCATGTTGGAGTAGAACCGTACAACACGAACTTCTTGGATCGGTGCTTGACGCTCTTCACCAAATACCAGTACGACGCGGATGTAGCCTTGAAGCATGTCAAGAAGATCGACAAGCGGAAAGACCTGAAAGAACCGGAGCTGACCAAGGAAGAAGAGAAGAAGTGGAACGAAGGTGTGGCAAAATATGGTTCTGAAATCAGGCTCGTCCGCCAGCACACCAGCAAGACCATGTTCTACGGGGATGCCGTGCGCTATTACTACATGTGGAAGAAGACACCCAAAGGAAGGGAGATCTGGGGCTCTTACAGCAGCCGCAAGGGACGCAGCAAGAAGGTCGAGCCTGACGCACAATCCCGGCTTGTTGACGACGTAGCGGATGCCGCAGATGACTCGGCTTTCGACAGCGCAAAGGCCATTCAGCGCAAGCGACTCTTCCAGTGCAAGTTCTGCACAGTTCGCCACTCTCGCCAATGGAGACGCGCGCCTGGCGTGACGCCTGGTCAAATGATACCCCCGGATGGTCGTTCCAAGGACAAAACCGGATTCCTCATCGCCCTTTGCCTGCGCTGCGCGAATCTATGGCGCAAGTATGCAGTGACATGGGAAAATGTAGATGAGATCGCAAAGAAGGTTGCGCAGGGTGGAGGTAAGGCGTGGAAGCGTCGCATTGACGAGGAGCTCCTACGTGAGGTCTACGCCGCGCAGTCAGATCCCAGCTCCAAGAACCCCACTCCGGAGTACGTCGAAATGCCGGCTGCTACCGCCCAACCGATTCCAGAGCCACCGAAGAAGAAGCAGAAGACTGCCGCCATCACCAACGGAGATAGTGGAACAACAACTCCTGTCAACGAGCCTGTCTCGAAGAAGAAAGAAAAAGAGAAGGCTGCCCCGGCACCCAAGGCCCCAACGCCACCACCAGTTCCTGCGCCTCCAAAACTGAAGCCTTTGCCATGCGGTGTATGTCGGTCGTCGGAAGGTACGCGTCTAGAATGCGCAGCCTGTCGGCTCACTGTTCACAAATCTTGTTACGGTGTCGAAGAAACGCGACAGGCAAACAAGTGGTATTGCGACCCATGCAAGAACGACAAGAAAGAGAGCGTGTCATATGTAAGTTGCATTTTCGGCATTTATGATATCGTGCTGACCATTCAAAGACCTACGAGTGTGTTCTCTGTCCACAGCAGGAGACCGAGCAAGAGTTCTATGAACAACCGAAGATCACGCACAAGAAGCGGACGGATCGTGATCGCGAAAGGGAGCGCCTAGAGAAGGAGCTTATTGACAAAGCCAAGGACGAATATCGCCTTCGGCAACAAGAGAAGGGTCGACCGCTTGTGCCCCGTGAACCGCTCAAGCGCACCGCTGACAACAACTGGGTGCACGTGTATTGTGCAATATGGCATCCCGAAATCAAGTTCAGCAGCGCGACACGTCTCGACATGGTGGAGGGAATAGGAGCACCAACACTTCGGTACGACGCAGTCTGTAAGCTGTGCAAGACAACGAACGGCGCATGCACATCGTGCCTGCAGTGCCACGCAACTTTCCATGTTGGCTGCGCTCACAGCAACGGATATACTTTCGGATTCGACATGACCCCAGTCAAGGTCTCTCGCAGAGATGCCGTACCTACAGTGACTATGAACGGAGAGACGGGTACTCTGATCGCTGCGATCTGGTGTAAAGACCACGCCCCCAAGACGGTTGTCCACCCAATGAATGAACCCGTAGATGGAACAGATCTGATTGCGCTTCAGCTGTTCGCGCGGGAGTTCAAGCAGGCTGACCTCACCCTGACCGGTACCGCGCGCAAAGCCAATTTGGTGGACCAATCGACACGCATCGTACCCCAAATCGTGCCTGCGCCGGCCAACCGCCGAGCATCTGCAGTCGCAGCGCCCACACCCACGTCAGCCCGAGGTCGACAGTCCAACGCTGGTATATCAGTCAAGGAAGAGTCGAGCGAGCCAGCGGCGCCCAAGCCTGAGCGCAAATGCGTGCGCTGCAAGATCGAATCCAGCCCACGATGGTGGAAACTTGACGAGGAAACAACAGCAACACAAGCGCCTCGTGTAGTAGACGGACCAATCGACCGCGATGGTACTGCAGACATGAACGGCCACATCGAGAAGAAGCCCGTAGTCGAGGAAGGCCAAATCGTCAACAGCAATGGCCAAGGCGATCAGCCAATGACGGATGCGCCAGCCGTTGCTTCACCAGCGCACAAAACCTTGCGACTCAACACTGATGTGGACGCTGCTCCCTCAGCTTCATACATGTGCCAGAAGTGTCATTGGAAGAAACAAAATGGCAAGGATGATGAGGAGGAAGAGCGAGCGAGATCAGTATCGATCTTCAAAGAGCCACCACAAACGTACCCTCTGCCTGCGACTCAAATCCCACCATATCCACCACCACCTGCAGCTCTAGCAGGAGGCTGGGCGATACCAGGCGGCCCGGTACCAGGTCAGCCTCCGCCGTTGCCTTCATGGCATAGCGGTATTCCTCCAGGGCCTGGGCATCCCCCACACCACATGCCCAACGGGAACGGTTACGGGCCACCACCACTACAAGCTCCACCTGTTGGCCACATTCCTGCGTTCCACGCGCCATACCCGCCTCAGCCGAACGGTTACTCAGCCTTTTCAGGCGCACCGATGCACTCGGCGATAGCAGCGGCAGGGCTTCGGCCACCGTACTCTGGACCACCCATTAGTGGACCTCCCCAGCTACACCACAACAACGGCGCCATGATGGTCAACGGGGCTATGCAATCACCACGGACAATGCCCTATTCTCCAACCCATCCTCACGCACATCCTGCGTCGCGTGAAAGCCCTTTCACTGCTCCTCCTCCAGTAGCACAGTACCCTGTGCTCCACCACGGAAGCCCTGCACCTGGCAGACCGGCAACACCCATGGATACAGTGATGCGGGAGGCACCAACAGTCACGTCAGCGCCCACTGAGCGCGCCAACACGGGGGCTAGCGCCAGTCCATCTCTTCGCAACTTGTTACATTAGACTTTCCTTTCGCTCGTTATCCTTTCTATCTGTATACTCGGTTTCATTCGATCTTCAAGCATGGGACCGGAGTTGAAGCCTTTGGGCGTTTTCTATGTTCAGCGTCGGATGCAGGAATATCCCTCCCGGTGACGTAGCATTGCGAAACATGCGGGGACCTCTGGAGTCTACAGTGGAATGGCGGAAGTATAGAGTGCGATAGTGAGGTCTTCATTGGGCATGTTAATCGGGCGTTTGGTGGCATTATACCACAACGTTTACTCTGTGTTTTGTTTCTTTTTTGCTTTAGGTCAGCGAAGCCGGCATCCCAACGGCACTGAATTTGATCCAACCTATCATTATGACATGTCCATTGTGCGCGCCTCAGTGCTGCGAGGTTCTCCGCGTAACTCAATCTGTATCCCAACAGTACTTTACAACGTGATGTGGGGAAAAAGAAAGTATCTTGCGGCGGCGGCAATAGCGGCGGATGATTGCTGTCTAGCGGGAACACGCGCTACTCAACACGTAACACAAGGAAGTGTATGTTTCAATATAAAGAATCGAACCTCACCGACTGTTGCATCATGGTTCACGCGCATTTTCCAACGCAACAAATGCCACAGCCACATTTTGACAGACGAAGATGCGGAGTGAAGTCCGCCACATCCGGCCAGGCGGGCAAGGAACAAGCTTTCAGCCCTGCAGGGCACGGTTACGCGCTCCACTCCTTTCCACGCGTCCCTTGCAGACCAGAGCTCCCCCGACCTCCCCAACCTCGAGGCTTCAGTTGCCCCAGCCACAATCTTCGTCACTTCTTTTTTTGGTTATTCTTTTTGTCACTCATTCAATTCCATCGTCGTTTCCATAAGTTTCCATTTCCTTCTCCTCAAGCCACTTCCTTAGTTATTTACCATCGAGGGTCAGCCACTCAACAGCCGCCCGCGCATCCATCCCATCTTGAAACTCAACACACCCACGCCTCACACATCTGAAACAATACCCGTTGCCAACCCACTCCACACGCGACACACCTCCCTCTCGGGAGCCTAACCGACCGAAGGACAGAACGACGTAGCAGTGGCGCAGCTGTCCCATTAACCGCTCATATCGGCCATATCATCCTCCCTGAATTGCGGCACATACTGGGCTTATACCAGTCGATCTTCCCCTCTGCGATCCAACGTAGACATCCACGACTCGCACCACTATCTCTGCTGAGAATACACACACATTGCAGTTATGATCTCATTAACAAAGAGATACTGCGTCGAATTTGATGACGGATCGAGGGAGTGCGGCTTCGACGACAATGGCTTTTGGTACTCAGACGTATGTTTGGCTCATTACCAGTGGTCTTAACAGGACTTTGAACTAACAAGATAACAGAAAGGCATAATCGTCAAATGGATCATCCTCGCAGCTTTCTTTCTCATATTCTTCGGTTGGTTTGTAGGAGGCCGCATTCACGCAAAGCAACGTCTGAGGAAGGGCCTACCGTTGCTCTCATACCATCGCGTACGTTACCCCTCTTCTCCAACACACGCAACCCTTCATATACTAACGGTCACAACAGTTCCTCATATCCTACTCTGAACGCCGCCGCCATGGTCAGGTCCCCCAGAACCACTTTACCTTCTACCAAACGCAAAACCCCTACGCACCTAACGCACCCAACCCGCAATACACGCAGCGACAGGACGGCACATGGGCGGAACCCCCGCCACTGTACCAGAACACTGATGCACCGCCCCAATACTTCGCGCCCCCTCCTCCCGGCGCCACCAAGATGAACCCGAACCAAGGAGCTCAAGGTATGGAGATGCCAGTATACGGTGCCCCACCACAAGGAGTACCACAACAAGCCGGACCTCAGCAGAGCGGCGTTGTCGGTTCCGATGTCGAGCAAGGTCAATCACAAGAACTGCCACCCCGGCCAGCCAAGGCCAAGATCATGGGTGTTTTGGATAGATTCAGACGGTAGATAGGATGCACATACAAAACAGCTGCAAAAGGCGGATATACAAGATCGTGACTGGATCACGTTGATTGCATTTGATGTATAACAAGCGTTACAAACTATCCATAATAATTTCATGACCAACAACAAGTAATACCATTCACTCAAACAATCATTCGAATCAGTCAATGTCCATGGCATCTCCGTCTCCCTCTACAGGTGACGCCATAGCTTGGGGTATCGCATCCATAATCCTCGGTCCTCCAACCACACTACTATCCCTCCCGAGATCCACATCCACAGGCTCCGTCACGGGATTAACCTGCTTATCCCTAATCCTCTGCCGCGCCTCTACAATCGCCTTGCGCACATTATCCTGCGCCTCGGGCACCGTCAAACTGCTCGGCACATTATACAGCACCAACTGGTTCTTATCCGTGGGCTTGGGCTCTGGGCCCTGTAAGATGTGCTGAGGGATTTTGGAGAGGTGCTTCTCGATGTCGGAGAGGAAGATGGGCGTTTCCTCGTCGGATTCTAGGTCTGAGAGTTCGGCGCTTAGGTCTGAGATGTAGACGCGGTGGGGCGTGTCTTCTATCTCCATGCCGCATGCTTCTTGGGAGGGGCTGGCGCGGACGTGGCGTGGCTTGCGGGGTTGTTGGCGTCGTGGTGAGACGAAGGCTAGAGGGTCGCCGTAGGAGGTTGCGCCTTGGGGATGCCGGGGGAGGGGGGCGTCGGTTGAGCCTGGGACGGGTATGTAGAGGCGTGTGCCATTGTTGTCTACTGTGCTGTTGTTAGAAGGGGGTTTTCCATGTGTACAGTGTAATGGGTGCGACATACCTAGATTCAGCAGGTCGAACCGCTTACTCAGCCGCTGTTCATTCTCGAGCGAGCTGTCGGCGGCTCTCTTGGTGCCATGGGGCGCATTCTGTTGTTGCGCGAAGGGACGAGGGGAGCTAGCGACTTGCGCCATGCATCGCAGCTTTGGCAGGAAATCGTGCTACAAGTACTCCCGAAGACAGCCGATTGGTAGGGGTGGTGTGATGGATTAGCGATAGGGCTGGTGTTGGGATCGGGACATGGTGGTTGTTATACTGGGAGCGCGGTCGTCTAGGCGCACTTACGTGAAGCTTCCAGAAGGGCTGAGGCGCGCCATGTCGGTCCTCCGAAGCTCCTGGGCCCGCGTTCCACAGGTCAGCCCCGCAGTTTGCTTGCTGCAGCTCGAGCCGCCCGCACCCTGCCCACATGTTTTCGTGAATGCTGCTATCAACGCGAGCTGCCCCTCTGAGTCACCATACGGTTAGACGCCGTCTGCCCTTGCTCGCGACCCGTCACTCGCACTTTCCTCGTTCGCATTCGCCTCGGCTCGTCCTGTCTAGACGCTGCACGAGACTCTTCACCTGTACACGCCTCCTCTCGCTGCCCCTCCCCCACGGCACCGCGCCGGCCGCAAACATGTCGCTCGTTGAAGAGAAGCACGAATGGGGCGCCGTCCGCGTGCGCCAGACTTTCCTGGATTACTTCAAGGAGCGCGGGCACACGTTTGGTGCGTTTCCGTCTCAGTGTTCGAGAGTCAAAAAAGTCAATTGACAACAAACAGTGCCTTCCTCGTCCGTCGTGCCCCTCTCCGACCCCACCCTCCTCTTCACCAATGCGGGCATGAACCAGTACAAGGCCATCTTCCAAGGCACTGTCGACCCCTCGTCCGACTTCGCACAGCTCAAGCGCGCCGCCAACTCGCAAAAGTGCATCCGCGCCGGTGGAAAGCACAATGACCTCGACGATGTGGGCAAGGACAGTTACCACCACACCTTCTTCGAGATGCTGGGCAACTGGAGTTTCGGCGACTACTTCAAGACGGAGGCGGTAGGCTTCACCTGGGAGCTGCTCACAAAGGTCTACGGCATAGATCCCAAGAGGTTATACGTCACATACTTTGAGGGCGTGCCAGGTGAGCTGGAGCCCGATCTGGAAGCCAAGGAGTTGTGGAAGAGCGTGGGCGTACCGGAAGACCACATCCTGCCTGGTGACATGAAGGACAACTTCTGGGAGATGGGTGACCAGGGCCCATGTGGACCTTGCTCGGAGGTACACTACGACCTGAGGGAACCAGTCAATGGAGAGTACAGGAACGCTGCGTCGCTCGTCAACATGGACGACCCCGAGGTCATCGAGATCTGGAACAACGTCTTCATGCAGTACAACCGCGAGCCCGACCGATCACTACGACCGCTACCGAACAAGCACATCGATACCGGTATGGGATACGAGCGATTGGTCTCAGTGCTGCAGCACAAAAAGTCCAACTACGACACCGACGTCTTCACACCACTGTTCAAGAGGATACAGGAGATTACTGGAGCGCGGGAATACAGGGGCAACTTTGGAGACCAGGACCCAGATGGTATCGACACTGCATACCGCGTCGTCGCGGACCACGTTCGCATGATGAGCTTTGCCATTGCTGACGGTGGTGTGCCGAACAATGTCGGTCGGGGATACGTCGTTCGCCGAGTGCTTCGGAGAGGTGCACGATACGCGCGCAAATACTTCGAGACGGAAATCGGCGACTTCTTCTCCAAGATTGTTCCTACGCTGGTTGAGCAGATGGGCGACATGTTCCCCGAGATCAAGAAGAAGCAACAAGACATCATGGAGATTCTGGACGAAGAAGAAAAGGCATTCGCCAAGTCGTTAGATCGCGGTGAGGTCATCTTCGAAAAGTACGCGCAAAAGGCCAAGGTCAAGGGCTCGGATGAGCTGCCAGGAGACGATGTTTGGCGGTTATACGACACCTACGGTTTCCCTGTTGATCTGACGAAGCTCATGGCGGAAGAGCGCGGCCTGAAGATCAAGGACGAGGAGGTTGAGGCGGCACAAGAGAAGGCTCGCGAAGCTAGCAAGGGAGATAAGAAGGCTGGTGCCGTAGTCGTCAAGTTCGACGTACACGACCTTGGTGCGCTGGAGAACATGCCCGAAGTCCCAAAGACCGACGACTCCGCCAAGTTTGGCCGCGAAAACATCACCGCTACCATCAAGGCGATATATCACAACAAGAAGTTCCTCAAGAGCACGAAAGAGGTACCGGAGGGCGAGCAGTTCGGTGTCTTGCTTGACAAGACAAACTTCTACGCCGAGCAGGGTGGTCAAGAATTCGATACTGGAAGGTTACTTGTAGATGGCGAGGCCGAGATCAGTATCGAGAACGTGCAGGTGTATGCCGGCTACGTGTTGCACACTGGATACATCAAGTACGGCGAGTTGAGCGTAGGCAGCGAGGTCATTGCAGAGTTCGACGAGCTCCGGAGACATCCCATCCGCAACAACCACACCGGTACCCACGTCCTCAACTACGCTCTTCGGGAAGTTCTTGGTAACGAGGTTGACCAGAAGGGTTCTCTAGTCGCACCAGAGAAGCTGCGTTTCGACTTCTCGCACAAGGCTGGTCTGTCAGACGCGGAGCTAGACAAGGTCGAGAAGATTTCCTCCGAGTACATCAAGCAGGATTCACAAGTCTACGCCAAAGAAGTACCACTCGCATCCGCAAAGGAGATCCGCGGCGTCCGCGCCGTCTTCGGCGAGACCTACCCCGACCCCGTCCGCGTCGTCTCCGTCGGTGTCCCAGTCGAAGAGCTCCTCAGCGACGTCAAGAACGAGAAGTGGGAAAAGCTCTCCATCGAATTCTGCGGCGGTACCCACGTCCTCAAGACAGGCGAGATCAAAGAACTCGTCATCCTCGAGGAATCCGGCATCGCCAAGGGCATCCGCCGTATCGTCGCGGTAACCGGCCAAGAAGCCTACAACGTCCAACGCATCGCGCGCGAATTCCAAGAACGCGTCCAAGCCATGGGCAAGATGGCCTTTGGCCCCGCCAAAGAAGCCGAAGCGAAGAAAATCGGCGTCGACCTTAACAACCTGACCATCTCCGCCATCGCAAAGACCAAGCTGCGCGAGGAGTTCGCCAAGATCCAAAAGAGCATTCTGGACGAGCAGAAGACTGCTGCGAAGGCTGATAACAAGCGTGTGCTCGATGAAGTGACCAAGTTCTTCGAGGACGACAGCAAGAAGTTCATGGTGAAGAAGCTGGAGTGGTCGAGCACGGTCAACAAGGCCATCAGCGAGGCTATCAAGACTGTCTCTGGTCCGAAGAGTGCACTCAAGGATCGGAGTTTGTATCTTTTCTCTGCTTCGCCCGAGGAGGGTAAGGTTGTGCATGGGTGTTATGTTAGTGAGGTATGTTCTCCCCCTTACTCCCTCCCCAATGCTTTCGTGTGGGAGAGTCGAAGGATCCGTGCTAACGTCTACAAACCAGCCCTTCAAGAACGCAGGCGCCGACGGACCCAAATGGGCCGCTGCTGTTACTCCCATTATCGGTGGTAAGGCGGGTGGCAAGCCGGGCGCTCCTACTGCGATTGGCCAGGGTACGAATGCGGATAAGGTTGATGAGGGTGTTGCGGAAGCGACCAAGTTCATTGAGAGTCTTAAGCTCTAGGGTCGTGAGATTAGACTGTGAGCGTGCTTGCATGATCCAGTCGCTGTACTGTGAGATGGCATGAAATTTAGACGTCACGAAGATCAATGCATTTGTATGAGTTGTACTGCTTGCTTCAAATAGACTGAGTCTCCCTGTTCTGACTGTCAGGTCAAGCATGTACTTGATATCACATTGTGGCATTTCTTCACGTTGCACTTGAAGCCAAAAACACCAGTTTGAAGTTGACAATAAGCGCTCCACCTTATACAAGAAAAAAAAACCACAGGTCTACAGACCACATTGACATGAAAACATGCAGAGTGAGTAGCTTAACGTGAATGTAGGCTTTACATTGTTTAGTTTTTTCTTTATATTAACGTAGCTCTACGTTAACGTAGGCTCTATAGTGTTTAGTCCTGTCTTAGGTCAACGTAGTTCTACATTAACGTAGGCTCTACAGGGTATAGTATTTTTCTCAGGTCAACATAGTTAGTTCTATCGAAAGCAACAAACCCCAAACTACACCACTCACCCCCTCCACCCCAAAACCACATACCACACGCCCCCCAGCACAACCACCGTCCTCAAACTCGTCCTGAGTTCCCACCAAAACAGCGCTAATCCCTTTCTCCGTTTCCGCGGCTTCTTGGACGCTTTGGTGCTAACGCCGTAGACTCTGACCTTCTTGTCTCCCGCATCGTCGTCGACGTCGAAGTCTTTGGCGGGATCGTAGCCGGCGTGTTGGATCAAGGGGAGTTGGTATTTCGAGTGTTGCTGTTGTTGGTGTTGGGTTCGTGCTTGAGTAGTCGCTCGAGCGGATAGGTTGCCGTTTCGTTCAGAGGAGGTCGATGAGTTGGAGGAATGGGATTCCTTTTCCAAGGTAGTAGCGGGAGTGTTGGTAGTCGGCAATAACGGACTTTCCACCTTTTCGTCCTCGCCATTCGAGATAACGCCTAGCATAACGCCCGCCGCGCGAACGAACAGCAGCAACAGCGTCACTCCGAACAGACTCCCATATCTCAGGAACGTGCCAATCTGATCCGGTAACAGGCACAACTTTGTTTGAATCGTCTTACTCGCATCCCCCCCATTCAACGGCTTCCCAAGCGTATCAACCGGATTCCATAGACTAACCAGCACAACACCCGGCAGCCTAACGCCCATAGCCCAACTAATGCTCTTAACCGTGATCTCGCGTATGCCGCCGCCAGCACTGGTATACGCTTTATGCACCAACTCGCAGTAATCGTGGTCGTCGCCTGAGAAAGCATACCGGATGTCACCGACCTTCTCAGCAATATCAGCGGTGATCTCGCGGTTGAGCACGTTTTGGTATTGGTAGCCGCCGCGGACGGATATGGCGTTTCGGTCGTCGTGGTCGAGGGGAGGTTGGCCGGGTGGGGGAGGCGTCGGGGGCCAGTGTTCGCGGAGGGGGCCGCAGGGTGTGCCTGGGGCGCGGTAGAGGGGCACGTGGGTGAGGAGGATGGTGGGGAATTCGG